CCGCAAAAACAACAGTCACTGATCAAATTATGCAAAATTACATGAAATAAAATAAAATGCATACATTTTGAATACGTCCATCGCAAACAAAGAAGCTTCTTCCCCACCGGTTCCTAAAACAAACTAATCAACAGTTAAAACTAAAGATTCGACATAAAAAACTCATTTTCCGTAAATAAAGGGAGGGGAGGGAAAAATGTGAAAGCAGAGCAAGACAAAGAGGGACACTAGAAATTATCACCTGCTCTAACTTCCAAGATACAATCGCGTTCATCTGCATCATCCTTAGGAAGCAAAGACTTGAGCAACAGATAGCGAAGGCGCTTCTCCTCCTCGAACGCCTGCCCCAACTCTTCAGAAGCCATTTCATGCATTTCCTTGTCATCTTGGGCTTCAGATATCACCAATTTCAGACCCTCGATCTCCTGCCAAAATCACCACCTTTCAATTGCTTTATTGTACCCGCTGAGTCATTTTACTACAGCAAATTGAAGAAAATGGCGAATTTGTATCACCTTGTTTATCTTTCTCAACTCAGCCACCACGTCCATTGTATGCCGGAGCTTCTTAAGCTCTTTGTTCGCGTTGGAATAATCTCCCGGCGAGGCATCCGGCTGACTTTCGGATAAAGCAGGGGAAAAAGGAGTTTACACAGAGGAATTTCCTCGAACAGATTAAAAACATGGATATCAGAGGGCATTCAATAAAAGGTAAATACACACAGATGCACCATAGTTACCTGGTTGACAACAGATTGAAGATGAGCATGCCGGCTTTCAATGGCGGATAACTTCTGTTCCATGATGTTGACGAGATCGTGAGAAAGCTCCGGCTGCCACGGCGCAATTCCGTGCGAGCTGGAGTAGCCGCGGCAGAATAACCGGTTCTGGTATCTGCAACCAGTTATCCGGAGACTCTCGTATCGAGGCTGGGTTTTTTGAAATGCAGCGGCCATCACCCAGCGGCTGAGCCGCCACAACCGCCGTCGTCCGCCTTCCATATTCACAGCCGGCCTGACTCCGCCGTGTTTCACGAATGATCAATTGATAGTAAGTAAAATTACAGTGTAATAGCAGGCCGTAAAGCGAGCTAAGCGCGGCGAGTTTGGGTTTCGCTGCCGGTGGTAGGTATCGTCGGAGTTATGCAGCTGAGTTTTATGCGGGGGCCGGCGTTAAGGGCCTAGAGAATTGAGTTCTGGGCTTTGGGCTTTTTTACCTTATAAATTAAGAGGCCCAAATAAACCGGGCATGGTAAGGAGCTTAATACGGGCTTAAATTTGTAATTCTAGGCCCAAGAGATGTGGATTTAGGCTACTATATATTGCCCTGTACAAGTAGAAGGCCTATCTAAATATTCAAGTGAATTGTATATCCAAAAATATGACTCATTTCATTTCCCCTCTTTTGAAATCATTTTTGCTACAGTATTTGCAGCTCTATCTAATTAGGAATAATTAACACTCCTACTTGAATATTTAGATAGGCCTTCTACTTGGTGCTTAAACTAATATATTATTTAATTAGTAGGAGTGTTAATTATTCCTAATTCCTACTATATATCCAGCTGTGGATAATTGTTAGCCAAACATGCAAATACATAGAGACATGTGTTCTGCTGTAAGTATGTACTATCATTTATGTATCATCAGCTAGGTCAGGTCCTGCCATACTTAAATATTTATTAAAGCAAATGAACAAATTAAGCAATAAATTAATGTAGCTAGAATGAAAACCACTAATAATGCAAAGTCTTAGCCAGTAACAGAATAATAATTCTGCATATCAACTTTTAATTAAGGTCTTTAATTTGCCTATAAATTCAAAATGCAAAGTGAGACTTGTTTTCCCTTCTGTATGCAACAAAGCTTTCATGGCTACAATTGTAAATTTTGCTCTCTCTTTCTCACACTCTTCCTCCATTTTTCGGCACGAAAGAACTCGAGTTTCAGCTAATTCATCTTTGAAAATTGAAACAAATAATCGGGTTTGGTTGCGAGTCAGTGAAAATTCCACTCCCCATGTGAAAAAACATTTCAAAACCGATAATGAAGGAATCGAAAGGATTCATTCCCCTGAAGAATTCGACGAGCATCTTTTATCTTCGGAGGAAAAACTCGTGATTGCTCATTTTTCGACCGGTCGCTACAAGTACAATTCAATAATACGCCGGTTCATGGAGGAACAATGCCTGGTGTCGAACGAGGTCAAGTTTTTGCATATTTTGGCCGACGAAAACGAGAAAACCGAGCAACTATGCAAGAGGGAAAAAATCGACGAAATCCCGCATTTCGTTTTCTACCGAAAAACAGCAAAAAAAAGTCAATCAAGCGTCCAGGTTCCAACCGAGAAAGCTCGCGGACAACATTTTGTACTACGGATATGACCCGTTTTCACCCGTGGTCGAGGTGAAATCAGGGGACGATTTGGTGAATTTGATAAAGATTCGTAAAGTACTCGTTGTGGTCAATGTGGTCAAGGATTGGTGTTCGCCTTGCGCAAAAATATACCCTGGCGTGCTTAAACTGGCGAGTCAGTTGGTCAATAAGGTCGTGTTTGCTAGAATGAATGTCGATGAAAACGGTGGTTTCATGAGGATGATGAGGGAAATGGATGTTCGGAGAATGCCAGCATTTTTGTTTTTCGAAAACGGGGATTTGCGTGGAAAGTACGTTGGCTCTAGCATGAGTGTTCTAATTAGGGAAGTTGTGAAATTGCAAAACAAGAGACACTATTAAAAAATGATCGAAGATTCAGAAACGGAAGTTATTGTTACTCAAGTGTCGTTTTGTGTTACTAATGCACAATAAAAAAAAAGGCATATTTATACTATGAAATATCATGTTTCGATTTTATTTATTTTGTATATTAAAGTATGACATTTGAGTAGAAAAATATTTATTGAAATAGTATTGTTACTCTACCGTTAACTAAGTAGCTTCCATTTTGGATCATAATGTGACAATATTTCTAAATTTTTTCATATTTGTTTTACTAGCTATTAGCTGCGGCTATTAATTGCAGAAGTTTCAACTTATTAAAGTTAGCCTCCAATAGCATTATCATGGCTAATATCTCGTCATAGTCATGAGGCTATTGAGAAGCTTTAATTTACTATTGGGCCATACAAAAAAACAAGTCAAATATAATCACGTTTGGCCACCTAGCTAGCTATATTCTAATAATTTATAACCTCAACTTGTCTGTTTGTAACATATATTATAATAATAATAATAATAATAGAAATTATTAATCACATTCATGATCAGTGGTGAACCTGTGAATTACATCACGAACGTACATTGTTATGAAATAAAATACTATTTAGTACACGTACTAATAATATATAAATATCAATCCAACGTACGTGTAGTTTTTCTTATATTCTGCAGTTCCGATATTCATCAATATCTTCCAAGTCAATCTAGGATGGAAGACTTGAAATGGTCGTTCTTAGCTCCCTGTGTATTTATTTTCTACCGTTAGATATGGTTAATTATAAAAACACACACACACACACACACATATTATATATTAAAGTTTTATATTTTAAAATAAAATAAACAAAAGTTTAATTTTTTTACGAGGGGCGGAGCCACCCAATGGTTGGAGTAGGCTCCAGTCCGGTCTTAATTTTTCGTTTCATTTAAATGTATACTAGTAAAAAATATTTTAACCAATATTATATTAGACCAAAATTGGATAAATTTTATTTTGGCCCAAAACTAATTTTTTTTTTTTAAGCAATGAATTATATAATTAAATACGGTTTTAAGTCTCTTTCTGCTTTTCCTTTTTGCTAATTATGTCGTTTTCCATCTTCTTTTTGAGTTTATTCTATATTACTTGATAAAATAAAATTTATTTGATTAATATTTTATTCAAGACAATAACTCATGTTAGACTGCCATTAGAATACTTCATATGCAGTTGAGTTTATGGATTTTACAATTTTGTTGTATGTTTCTAATTTTACAAATAAATGGTATTTGAGTATATAAAATTTAATAATAAGTCTCATTTATTTGGGCAAAATTTTAAAATTGGTCTTATAACTTGGCCACAGTCCAAAAAACCACTCCGATATTGATCACTTTCAATTTAAGTCCTATAATTTGTCGATTTCATCATTTCTGGTCCTTTTTTTTTTATCCACGCCCCGGATAAAAACGTGGCGTGACATGACTAAATCTGACGTGGCGTGATTCAGGATTATGTG